ATTGTTTTAGTTTACAACGGTTCGTTGTCTCGGGGACGCGAGCATTGCGTATTCTACGGGGGATTATGGCCTCGGGAGCGCGAATCTCACGTCATTTCAATTGTCCCATGCCCCCCCCCGGGAATTCAGACACGCGATCCGGACGCAGTACATTGAATTTTTTGGGCTCCCCCCCTCGCGCAGACTTCAGCAATTTGCAGTCGGAAGCAGCAAGCAGGATTATAACGCTGGAGACTTGAAACTGCAACTGGTGCAGGGAGCAGCACACTTCGGCCTACAGCCTTGTGGCCCCACAAGAGGGCCTGCTGATTATGATCCCTGGCCTCCAGAATGATTTGTGCGATAATTGACGCTGTATTCTGACCTCCGGAGCGCAATTTTTGCGCGAAAAGCAAAAGGATTTTCGCCTCCGGAGTAGAATTTTGCAAACATGTCGTTGGATTTAGCCTCGGTGGCCCGAATCTGACGCAATTTGCGTGGGATTCTGGCCTTCGGATGTTGTATGTTTGCATGTCCCACGGCCCCGCAGGAATTCCGACAGCGCGAGTCGGGCGTGGTAACCCGGCCGCCGCTCGGCTCGCCCCCCCCCCTCGCGCGCACGTCAACAGTGTACAGTAGGAAGCAGAACGTTAGAGCTATCACAGTGGACACCGGAAACTGGACCTGGAGCAGGGAGCATCAAGCCTGAGCCTCGTAGCCTGATGGCCCCGCAAGGGGGCCGGCGGATCAACACCGAGTGCCACAAGAAGATGTACATGATCTCGGTGAAGGGCCCAGCCATGTGAAGTTGCGGGTGCCGCAGGGCAAGTTCGAAGACGCAGAGGGGGGAGGAGTGAGGGGTGTGCTAACATGGGGCAGCTGCGCCATGCGGACCCTGCCACTCGGGCCTTGGATAAAGCTCCCTCTGTGGGGCCGCGGGAGGGGTGTGCCGAATCGCGTGCCAGTGCGCCATGTGCGGGCCCTGCCGCTGGGGCATTCAGTGGAGCTCCCGTTGGGGCCACGAAGCGCGTGAGGGGTGTGCCCAATCAGGTGCGGGTGCGCCCTGCGGACCCTGCCGCTGGGGCCTTCAGTGGAGCTCACCAGTCTGCCACGAAGCGTGCGATGGGTTTTCGGAGGAGGGTGCGGGTGCGCCATGCAGATCCTGCCGTTGGGGCCGTCGGTGGAGCTCCCCATGGAGCCGCGAAGCGTGTGAGGGGCGTGCCGAAACGGATGCGGGTACGCCATGCAGGCCCTGCCGCTGGGGCCTTGATGGAGCTCCCCATGGTGCCACGAAACGTGCGAGGGGTTTGCCGAATCGGCCGCGGGTGCGCCATGCGGACCCTGCCGCTGGAGCCTTCGGTGGAGATCCCTGTGGGGCCGCGAAACGGGTGAGGGGTGTGCCGAGCCTGGTACGAGTACGCCATGATGACCCTGCCGCTGGAGTTTTCGAGGGAGCCTCTTACTTACTGGGGACACGAGGCGTGAGAGAGTGATGAACAAGATGTGGGTGCGCCATCCAGGCCCTGCCAGTGGGTCTTTCGGTGGACCCTCCTATTGGGCCAACATGTGAGTGATGTGCAGAATCGGGTGCGGGTTTGCCTTGCAGACCCTGCCGCTGGAGCTTTCGGTGGGGCTCCTCCGGGGCCACTAAACGTGTGAGCGGTGTGCCGAATCGAGCGCGGGTGCGCCATGCGGACCTTGCCGCTGGATTTTTTCGGTTGAGCTTCCTTCGGGGCCACGAATCGTGTGAGGGGTGGTCCTTCGGTGGGGCCCCCTTGTGGGGCCGCGAATCGTGTGAGGGGTGTGCCGAATCGGGCGCGGGTTACGCATGATGGTGATGAGACGGGGCAGACGCAAGGCAGGAGCAGGGATAGGATGAAGGAGGGGGGGGGAAGGCGGGAAGGAGGAATGAGGAAAACCGCGGGGCGTTGTTTGTTCAAAACGACGACCCAACGCACAGGATGGTTGGGGAATAGACATGGCCTTGCAACATGATGCTTCAAATTCGCCCGGCGAAGCGCCCATCCATCTGCAGTTGCGAGCAACGCAGTTGTGTACATCGTCTTCGGTGGAGCTCCCTACTATGGGGCCACGAAACGTGTGAGGGGTGTGCCGAAATTGGTGCGGCGGGCGCGTACGAACGCAGTCAGTGTGGCCTTCGGTGGGGCTCCCGATGGCGCCACGAAGCGTGTGAGCGGTGTGCCGAAATGGGTGCGGCGGGCGCATGCGAACGCTTGAAATGGAGCCTTCGTTGCGGCTCCCTATAGGGCCACGAAACGTGTGAGGGGTGTGCCGAGATGGGTGCGGCGGGCGCATGCAAACGCAACCATTGGGGCCTTCGGTGGAGCTTCCTCTTGGGACACAAAACGTGCGAGGAGTGTGCCGACATGGCTCATTCGAGCGCAGCCACTGGGGCCTTCCTTGGAGTTCCCTGGTACGGGGCCACGAAACGTGTGAACGTGTGAGGGGTGTGCTGACAGGTGTGGCGGGCGCATGCGAACGCAACCACTGGGCCATTCAGTGGGGCTCCCTGTAGGGCCACGAAGCGTGTGAGGGGTGTGCGCGGCGGGCGCATGCGGACGCAGCCGCTGGGGCTTTCGGCGGAGCTCCCTGGTATGGGGCCACGAAACGTGTGAGGGTGGGTGCCGAAGTGGGTGCGGCGGGCGCGTACGAACACAGCCAGCCGGGCTTCGGTGGAGCTCCCGATGGGACCACGAAGCGTGGGAGGGGTGTGCCGACATAGGTGCGGCGGGCGCATGGAACGCAGCCACTTGGGCCGTCGGTGTAGCTCCCTAGGCGGCCACGAACCGGGTGAGGGGAGGCCGGCCGGCATGGGTGCGGCGCGCATGCGACCGTAATTAGCCATTGGGTCCTTCAGTGGAACTCATGGGGCCACGAAGCGTTGGAGGGGTGTGCCGAAATAGGTGTGGCGTGCGCATGCGAACGCTGGATTTTGGACCTTCTGTGGAGCTCCCTATGGGGCCACGAAACATACGCGGGGGGGGTAGCAACGGTTGATTGGTGCGGAGGGCAGATGCAAGGAGCGGGAGGAGGGAGGAGAGGGAGGAGGAGAGGAGAGGAGGAGGTGGGAGACGCGGGGCGCTGTCTCTTCAAAACGAGGGCCCAACACCACAGGATGGTTGGGAGAAAAAGGTTTGTGTGCGCTTCTGCGAATTCTTGACAAAGCCATGGTTTTTTTTCAACATTTCTATCAAATGCGACCAAACGAGCCTCTCGCGTGCGCGCGTGTCGAAATCAGTCGAACGCCGTTGCGCGCGTGCTGGAGGGGCACGACCCCTGCCACAGAGTACCATGTTGGCCACTCGCGCGCGTCGGCCGCGCGCGCAAGTCGAAATCCTTCCAACACCTTCACCACCGACGCGGGGACATAACCGTCACCGGCATTATCGGCATCGGTGCCGTCATTGCACTTGCCGTCGTTTTCGTCATCGTACCCACCAGAATCGCTACTATCATCATCATCATCATCATCATCATCATCATCATCATCATCATCATCATCATCATCATCATCATCATCATCATCATCATCATCATCATCATCATCATCATCATCATCATCATCATCATCATCATCATCATCATCATTGTCATCATGATCATTATCATCGTGTCTGCCATTGTCGACTTCGCCATGATACCACGCCCGCCCGAGTCACCGACTCGCGTTGAAGTGCCCGCGCGTCAGCGCGGCCTGCGAGACGCGCTGGGGAGTCCGCAGCGGTCAGCGCCACGTCGGCCGCGTGGGTCGCGCCAGACTAACTGGCCGCTTTGCGCGCGAGCCTGCGCGCGCTAGCGCGGCCGCAGCAAAGCGCCAGGCAGCGCCAAGCAGTCATCGCAATCGCCGCCGCAAGGGTTTGGTAAACCCATGGCGGGCGAGTGTGTGAGATGATTGCGCGAGCAGCGGAATTGACATTTCCAGGTTCGGCAGGGCGAATTGCACCACATCTTGCACAACATAGACTGCACAACATAGTTTGCACCAAAGATGTCGCGCATCATAGATATTGCCGCGTATAGTGCAGAACATATAATGCACCACTGAGGCTGCACCACACATATGGTTCAACGAAGATTCCGTCTCATATGGTGTACAATATGTTTTGCATAACATGTGCAGCACCACGTCGATTGCACCACATAGAGCGGTCCACTTAGATTGCACGACCGAAAATCGCTATTTACAAAAAACGTTTGGTGCCCACGCTGGCGACCATATTGATATCAACGTGCGCGCATCGAATGACAGGGATAATGGGAGGCGATGCCACCTGGTTGGGAGGCGATGGCACCATGACCGGGAAATATTTGGCGGGGCAGAATTCTAATTTGCAGGATCCCATGGGGGGTCGACAACCTCGGCTGGGGAGGGTGGCGGGTTTTCTACGCGGTGCAAGCGATGTGATGCAACCTATGCGGTACAGATCTATGTCGAGCATCTTATGGGGTGTAAGTTGTGTGCTGCAGTGTGGTGCAGTCTGTGTGGTGCAAGTTGTTTTTGGAACCTTGATACACACGCGAGCACACAGGGCGGGCGGCGACGAGCCGGCAATGGGCGCCCACGGCGTGAAATCCCAGAATTGGCAGCCGGCGCGCGCGGCGGCGACGAGGCGGCGCCGGCGCTCACCGAGCGAAGACCAGAAAACGCCAGGCAGCGAACGAGGCGGCGACGAGGCGGCGAGGGGCGTCGTCAGATTCCGGAACCGTCCAGTTGCCGAAGATTCTGAACATCTTTTTCGTACAAGCACTGCTTTGGGAATGCCACCGCCGTGCATTCTGCAGTCGAAGTGTCAGAATGATATACTTGCCAAAGCGAAGGCCCTTTCATCCCCCGATTCCCTTCCCCTGCCCAGGGGTACCCTGGCATCTTGGCGCATTCTGGGCTCTGTGCGTTCGTATATCCCATCCGTATGAGCATTTCGCTAACCAGCTTTTCCTCGCAAGTGCCGAGCAGATGAAGTCTGGCAAACCGACATCAGTTGCAGTGGCCGCCGGCCCAGGCGACGGCGGCGCCGCCGCCGGTCGCAGCCGCACCGAGCACCTCGGAGGTATCGGTGCCCTCGCAGTCGTCCAGGGTCAGGGACATCGTGTTCAGGCCGGGAGACCCTCGTGGCAACCGCCAGCCCGGTTCCTTACTCCCCCCCTTTCGCAGACCCCTTCCCCAGGGAGGAGGTGGGAGACGCGGGGGCGGGGGGGAGGAGAGGGGAGGGGGAGGGGGGAGGGGGAGGGGGAGGGGGAGGGGGGGGAATAGGGAAGAGGATGAGGAGGAGGGTTCGATTGGTCGGAGCGGAGCCGTGGGCTCTGCGAGCCGTTGGCGCCGAAGCCCTCTCGGGCCACGCTCCCCCGGGCCAGCGTCTCATCCCGTCGAGTCGCTGTTGCCGGCGGCCCTCGGCCCCCAGGGACCCCGGGAGCTGCCTTCCGGAGCCGACCGCGAGCCCAGGTTTCTGTCCGCGTCGGCAGAGGTCGGGGGAGGGGCAGGGGTGGGGGGGAGAGGGCAACAGCAGGAGGGTGGGGGGGAGAAGGCGGAATGAGAAGAAGGAGGGAGAAGGAGGAGGAGGAGCAGGAGGAGGAGGAGGAGGAGGAGGGAGAGGAGATAGAAGGAAAAAGGACGAAGAGGAGGGGCAGGAGGGAGGGGAGGAGGAGGAGAGGAGGAGGAGAGGAGGAGGAGGAGGAGAGGAGGAGGAGGAGGAGGAGGAGGAGGAGGAGGAGGAGAGGAGGAGGAGGAGGAGAATGAGGAGGAGGAGAAGAAGGAAGAGTGCGGAAGGAAAGGAAGGAAGGAAGGAAGGAAGGAAGGAAGGAATGGAGGAGGAGGAGGAGGAGGGAGGAGGAGGGAGGAGGAGAGAGGGAGGGGGAGGGAGGAGGTAGGGAGGAGTGAGGGGGGAATCCGATTGATAATCGCAGCGAGGGTCTCCCACCAAGGGGCCCCATCGCGGACGACGTGGAGGGGGGTGGCTCCCGGTATTCTGCGTCGGTGTTATCCATGCGGGGCACTCAGCCTTGCCTCTGCCTGTCGTCGCCGTCGCGTCGTCGGCGTCTGATTCGGCAGAGGAATGAGGGAACGGGGTTTATTATCATCATCGTCCTCGCCCCCCATTCCTTCCTTATCCCTCCTCGGCTCCAGACTGACTCCACCTTCCACAGCTGCACAACCTGACTACTACTCTCATAACCCCCATGGGGCTGTCTTCATTTGAGCCCATCTATCTCGTATTATTTCTATACCAAACATTGCGTCTCATTGGCGTTCGAGATGTGTCTCCCGATCCCAGTTTTCCCACCCTTTCAGAAGTCAGTACCCCACTGCAGCACTTGCCACATCCAGTGATCTACAGAGGGCGCTTGTCCAACGGAGCGACGCTCTCGTCGTAATTAGCGCTGAACGTCTTCGCTCGTCCTCCATCTCCGCCTCCTCCTCCCCCTCCTCCGCCTCCCCTCCCGCTCTCCGCCTCGTCCAGGGCCTCCCAGCTTTTGCTCCCAGGGGTGAAGGTCCTCTTCGATAAGGTTGCCCTTTCGGAAATCCAGGTCTTTCCCGACACCCCCTTATTTCCGAATAGAGGTGGGTCCAACGTGTTTGAAAGGGAAGGGAGGGAGGGGTGCGACGTCTGATAGGGCGCAAACGCACCTAGCCTATCTCACACCTTCCACTTCTTCAAGACTGCCTCGCTGGAGGTCAGAGTCCTCCACTCCTCATCTTCCCTTTTCTCGTCGTAGTCTCCCATCCATCCCGAAGAGGATAGGGAAGAGGAACCGACGTCGCGTTTATTCCATATGTGTCTCCCAGACCTGTGGTCCCTGGACTTCCCAGTTGCCAGCTGTTCATCATGAGCTGTATTTTGATTGTCAAGGTGAAAACAGCCAGAACTTGTCCGTCTTGTGTTTGTTCACTACGCGAGGGGCATGCGTCCAGAGGTGCGTTTTGACAAGACTAGCGGGGCGGATCCAGCCGTGGCGACGAGAGGCCTCCTTGAGGCACAACAACGGGGAAAAAACGTCGAACATCATCTCCAGTCTCGAACCTCGAATTGGGGTGCGTCTCGTTGTCCTCCCCCTCCCCCGCCGACCCGCCGAGGTGGAGCAATGTCCTGCCGCACGTGCGCAGCTCGTTCGCGGTGCACACGTCGCTGGCGGAGGCCCCGAAGCCTGCAGCGCCGCTGCTGATGGACACCCTGGTCTCCAAGACGAAGGCATAGGGGGCGCAGAGAATGAGGGAAACGTTTTTAAGATGACAGGAGGAGGATGCGGAATAGGAGGAGAAGGAGGAGAAGGAGGACGAGGAGGAGAAGCAGGAAAGGAGGAGGGAGCAACGAGGTTGGAGAGGACCGAATGTTGTCCTGGGACGGGTGGGGGTAGGAGGGAACCCTGACTTCCCATTCCAGGTGGGCAAACAAGACTAACACCAGGACCTTTGAACGTGAACTCCAGTCGAGGTTTTTGGCAGTTCAAGAAGGCGTATAGGTCCGGAGGACGTGACGTTTACGCCCATGGAAGTTCAGGGAATGACCCCCCCCCCTGGTCAGTTTGCACAACGTCTGTGCGACCAGCCGCGGAGTACCCCAGCTGCTTCCCTGGACTTTCTCTGGCCCCGAGGTCTCCCCCCAGATTTTCTCCGGACTTCCCCCGGCCTGCCCCGCGCAGCGAAGACATCCGACCGACCTCCCCCGCCCCCTCGCGGTCGCGGCCGACGGCAGTCACGCGGTGTGCGAATGCTTGCCGCCGTCTGGCGGGGCCTGCCTGGAGGCCTCAGGCGTCACTGGTGGGACTGGTGGAGCGGGGAGGGCACGAAGCACAGTAAATATATGTATAGTTTGGTATTCCGATGCTTGCGGCGGTCTGGCGGGGCCTCGCTAGAGGGCCAGATGGCACTGGCGAGGCTGGTGGAGTGGAGAGGGCACGACACCTGATAGACAACACGGTGTGCGAATACCTGCCGCGCTCTGGCTGGGCCTCCCCGGAAGGCTCAGGTGGCACTGGTGGGATTGGTGGAGTGGGAAGGCCACGAACCTACTTACACAGCCGTGACAAAAGTTTCTTCAATTTGCTATGATGAAGATCCCCCATCCCTCTCAAGATTCCTATCATAACATGATGCTGGGATCATTCGGCGGAGTAGTTTCCGATCCCAGAGAAGTTAATAATTCTGTTACCCCAAAACGTGATCGGAAACTACTCCGCGCCAAACCATATACACCATCGAGCGGGATGCGATTGCACGCGGAGTAGTTTTAGTAAAACTACTCCGAACTACTCCGCACGAGCGCGTCATTCCAAAAGGCAAATTGAAAGAAACCTTCGTCACGGCGATGTATCAGGGTGAGAGGGCCGAATTGTAGTATTCAAGTGGCTCGCGCCATTCCGCCGACACCCCAGAGAGAGCGAGTGCTTGCGACGACCTGGGACGTTCTCTGGTGGCTCAGGAGCTTCTTGGAGGCATGCGAGGGGCTCCTGGGATACTTCTCAGGGGCCTCTTGGCGGGCTCCTGGAGGCATCTGGGGGGCCCTGTGGGCTTTCTTCGGGGCTTCCTGGGGGCCCCTTGGAGGATTCTTGGGGCCTCTTGTGGGCGCCTCGGAGGCGTCGGGGGTGCTCTTGGGGCCATCGTGGCCGTAGAGGCTCGAAATGTCAGTTCGTATCCCCCCTCTTGGGCCCCATTTAGGGCCCTCTTGGGGTTCTCTCGGGCCGCCTTGGGGGCCCCTGCGGCCGCCTTGGGGCCCTCTTAGGCTGTCATGGGCCTCTTGAGGCCTCATGGGCCCTGTTGGGACGATCTCGAGGGCCCATTGGGCCGTTTTGGGCGCTGTCAAGACGAAATAGGTGAATTGTCCTCTGGGAGCATTCTTGGGCCGTCTAGGGGGCCTCGTGGGCCGTCTCGAACAATTTTAGACCGTCGAGGGGCTACCCTTGGCCGTCTCGACGCTCTCTTTGACTATCTTGGCGCTCTGTTTGGGCGCGCTTGGGCCGTCCCGGGGCCCTGTGGATGCTCTGGAGGCCCCGAGGGAGGCGTTGGCGCGCTCGTGGAGGGACCCCCCGCGCCGCCCCCCAGACTGGCATTTTGGAGCCCACGGGAGGGGGGGAAGGGGGAGGTCACCACCCACCAAAGCACCCCAACCCAACCCGAAGGCTCAGATTTACCCTCGATTTCCAGTGGGGGGGGGGTCGGGAAACATCGAAAAAACACATGTGGAACCCTTACCCCACCCAACCCGAAATTCGGGTCTTCTGGTTGGGTTGGGGTGGTCTGGTAGGTAGTCAGGGGGGGGACAGCCGAATGTTTCACACGCCTTTTTCCCCCGTGGCAAGCGAGGGTCGGCGGACGCTGTCCCAGGGTGCGTGGCTGAAGTGGACTTCCGCGGTGCAGGTTCTTCTGGCGTGGTGTTGGTGTTGGTGTTGGTGTTGGTGTTGGTGTTGTTGTTGTTGTTGTTGTTGTTGTTGCTGTTGGTAGTGTTGTTGGTAGTGTTGTTGTTGTTGGTGGTGGTGGTGGTTGTGGTTCGTTGTTATCGTTGATGTTGTTGCTGTTGTGATTATTGTTGCTGCTGTTGTTGTTGTGAGTGATGCTGTTATTGTTGTCGCTACGGTTGTTGTTGGTGGTGCTGCTGCTCTTCCTGTTGGTGCTCATGCTGTTGTTGTTGTTGTTGTTGTTGTTGTGGTTGTGTATGGTTGTTGCTGCGGTTGTTGTTGTTGCTGCTGTAGTTGTTGTTGTTGCTGTTGCTGTTGCTGTTGCTTTTGTTGCTGGATTCTCATTCTAAAGAACAGTTACCTATTGCTGATCCCCCCCTGCCCGGTAACCAATGTATTCATCAATGGACGTGTTTCTCCTGGGGCTCGCACCTGGTTTTTTTTCACAAGAGAGAGTTCGGTGCCACCAATTTTGCCCCTGGCGCCTTGCTTTCAGTAACAACGGCTCCCGCCTGATATGTCCTCACCACTCATTTCAGAATCGCCCTATCGCGAGGGACGTCTACACAATTTATGTGGAAATCGCGCTCTCGCGTGGATCTTCAGACGTCGCGCCCTCGACACTCAGGAATCACGCTCGCGCTGTGGATTTCCGTATTTGGGAATCGCGTTATCGCTCGAGACTTCCTCGCGATTCATGTAGAACGTACGCTTCAGCAACCCGTCTGCCCATTGTGCCTTCCTTCTATCCGTCCTCTCTTCCCCTGCCTTAGGGGCTGCATGAAATACACGTTGCAGGTAAGAACGATATACACCGAAGGGGGTACGATCGAAGAGAAAAAGAGCGCATACAGAGGTTTTGGGATATACGTGTTGACTGGCACGCGAGCACAATGCCATGCATGCAGGAATCGCGCTCTCGCGTGGGACTCCCTCGAATTTTATTCAGACGCCGCGCCATCGACACTCAGGAATAACACTCTCGCTTTGGCTATTCTCGCGATTTGCTTGGGAATCGCGCTATCGCTCGAGACTTCCTCGCAATTCATGTAGGACGTACGCTTCAGCAACACGCCTTCTCGCCCTGGACGCTTGGGCCTGCTTTCCAGACCCGCCCGTTAGGGTCTGCCCGCCCAGTCAACCCGTCTCGATGTGCCACATGCTTCTGCTCCTAGGCCACCCATCCTTCTCCCTCCCCCTTTCCATCCGTCTTCTCTTTTACAGTTTCCGGAGCTGTGCCAATGACTCGCCGCATGTAAAGAAGATATTCCCCCAGGGGGATACGATCGAAGACGAAGAAGGTGGGTACCGAGGGTTTGGGATATACGTGTTTAGTGGCACACGAGCAGGTAAGAGCGAACAATTTTTAAATGCTTGAACTTCCATTATTGCAGAATCATCGTTGTTGATCCCCCTCCGGTAGCATATGTGTTTTTCAATTGAAGTACCCCTTCCCGGGGCTCGCACCTTGGCTTTTATCAGGGAAAATCTTCCTGCTCAAGCTGTGCCCCTGGCCCCCGGTTTGCAACAGCAACGTCTCCCGCCTGATTATTCCTTGCACTGTTTTGAAGAATCGCGCTCTCGCTAGGGACTTCTGCGCAATGTATCCATAAATCGCGCTCTCGCTTGTTACGTCCTCGCAAGTTGTTCAGGCGCCACGCCCTCGCCATTCAGGAATCGTGCTCTCGCTTGGAAATCGCGCTCTCGCCCGAGACTTCCTGGCGAATTATGCAGGACTCACGCATTCGCGTAACATACGTGTTTTTCATTTGAAGTGCCCCTCCTGGGGTTCGCTGTGTTTTTATTGGGGGGAGTCTTCCTGTTCTAACTGTGCCCCTGGCCCCTGGTTTAAAACAACAGCGGCCCCCGCGGGACATTCTTTTCAGTGTTCTGTGGAATCCCGCTCTCGCTAGGGACTTCTGCGCAACTTATCCAAGAATCGCGCTCTCGCTTGTGACATCCTCGCAATTGTTTCAGGTGCCACGCCCTCGCCATTCAGGAATCGCGTTCTCGTCCGAGTCTTCCTGGCGAATTCTGCAGGGCTCACGCACTCGCGTAACATTTGTGTTTTTGTCAATTCAAGTGCCCCTCCTGGGGCTCGCTATGTTTTTACAGAAGCAAATATTCCTGCTCAAATTTTACCCCTGGCCCCCGGTTCACAACAACAACAATAGCGAGAACAACAACAAAGGCTCCCGGCGGATGTTTCCTTGCAGTGTATTGAAGAACCGCGTTCTCGCTAGGGACTTCCTTGAAATGCATCCCAGAATCACGCTCTCGCTTGTGACGTCCTCGCAATTAATTCAGGCGTCGCGCTTTCGACACTCAGGAATCGCGCTGTCGCGTGGAACTTCCTCGCATTTTTTTCAGGCGCCGCGCCCTCGACACTCAGGAATCACGCTCTCGCTTTGGGTTCCCTCACGAGATTTATTTTTGAATCGCGCTGTCGCTCACGGCTTCCTCGCCATTCATGCAGGACGCACGCTTCAGCAATCTGCCTGTTCGACCTGGCCGCCTGGGCCCGCCTGTTAGGGTCTACCTGCCCGATCTGTCCGTCTGGTTCTGCCACGTGGTTTCTTCTCCTAGCCCCCCTCCTGCTACTCTCTCTCTCGTGCTCGATCCTCCGCTCCCCTCCTTGTCCCTTCCTTCCATCCGTCCTCTCTTCCCCTACTTTAGGTGCTGCACGAAATAGATACACGTTGCAGGCACGAAAGATATACCCCTAAGGGGATACGATCGAAGACGAAGAGGGCGGGTATCGAGGGTCTGGGATATACGTGTTGAAAGGCACGCGAGCGGATCGGAGCGAACAGACGTAACATGGTTGTTGTTGTTATTGTTGTTATTGCTGTTGTTGTTGCTGTTGTTGTTGTTGTTGATGTTGAACATTATTTATTCTAAAGAATAATTATTGTTGGGCCCCCTGGTGCGCGCCCCCCCTGCGCCGCCTAGGCCGCAGCTACATTTTCATCATTTTCGTGAGGAAGCCTCAGAAAAGAGGGTGTGTACAGGATCCGGTTGTTTTGTTGTAATCCGCTTTCCCTTGCAAAAAACAATAGAAAATGACATTTCTTGTTCTAATATAATCAAATTTCAAGAATCCCTTGCAAAAAATAAGGTAAAGTGGACATTCGCGCGCGCAAGACGAAATCCTTCCAAAACCTTAGTGTTCGCAGCGATTTTAACATAAAAACATCAAAAAACCAATGGTTTTTCAACAAAAAATTGTCAAAATCTCATCCCGCGCGCTCTTGCGGATTCGTAGGAAACCCAACACTTTTTAAACATTTCTGTCAAACGGGCTTTTGCGAGCAACTTTTTCGAACTTCTGCGACAACGGTTGCGCACCTGCCAGGGCCATCATCCCTGTCAAATAATACCATGCGGGACACATTCGTTTTTTCTTCGCGCGCGCACGCCGTCGTCGTCGGCCGCGGGGCCCTGAATAGTAGCCACGGTCGTCCGCATGCCACGAAGTGAAGTGTCCGAACGTCATAGGGCGGGAAGCTGGGTGTGGGTGGTGGCGAAGAGTCGTTTGGAAATTTGGTAGAGCTTGAACCGGCCCCCCCACAAAGTGGGGGTATTGCCCGCCTCCTATGAAAACCCTGGCACTGGTGAGAACGGAGTGTCCCCACGTGCTAGTAATTGTTGTTGTTGTTGAACATTATTAATTCTAAAGAATAATTATTGTTGGGCCCCCTGGTGCACGGCCCCCCCTGCGCCGCCTAGGCCGCAGCTACATTTTCATCATTTTCGTGAGGAAGCCTCAGAAAAGATGTGTCCAGATCCGGTTGTTTTGTTGTAATCCGTTTTCCCTTGCAAAAAACACTATAAAATGACATTTCTTGTTCTAATATAATCAAATTTCAAGAATCCCTTGCAAAAAATAAGGTAAAGTGGACATTCGCGCGCGCAAGACGAAATCCTTCCAAAAGCTTAGTGTTCGGAGCGATTTTAACATAAAAACATCAAAAAACCAATGGTTTTTCAACAAAAAAATGTCAAAATCTCATCCCGCGCGCTCTTGCGGATTCGTAGGAAACCCAACACTTTTTAAACATTTCTGTCAAACGGGCTTTTGCGAGCAACTTTTTCGAACTTCTGCGACAACGGTTGCGCACCTGCCAGGGCCATCATCCCTGTCAAATAATACCATGCGGGACACATTCGTTTTTTCTTCGCGCGCGCACGCCGAAATCTCCAAAAACCATTGGGCTTCTTAAGAATTTTAGCACCGCGCATCATAAAATCACACGAATCGCACCGTAGGTCCTCGAAAAACACCTGCACGACTTTTCAAAATTTCTACCCGCGCGCGCTGTCCTAACAACTTCTGTGGGTGTGTACTCCACGCCAGTGTAGTAGCCACGGTCGTCCGCAGGCCACGAAGTGAAGTGTCCGAACGTCATAGGGCGGGAAGCTGGGTGTGGGTGGTGGCGAAGAGTCGTGTGGATATTTGGTAGAGCTTGCACTGCCCCCCCACAAAGTGGGGGTATTGGCTGGCGTCGCATGAAAACCCTGGCACTGGTGAGAACACTGAGCGTTCGGGTAAAGTGATTGTTGTTGTTGTTGTTGTTGTTGTTGTAATTCGTTGTCGTCGTCCTCGCTCGCGGCCCACCCGCGACCCACCCGCGACGCGCTCGTGACCCATCCGCGTCCCACCGACGTTGTTTCGACAGCGCCTGCGCCATCTGCGCCTGCGGCGGGCTCGTTGTGCATCGGCCTGCTGCGGGTCTCTCCAAGGTTTCTCTCGAGACCCCCCACCCCAACCCGTGACTCTTATCAGCAACTGCGGGACCTATGGTATTCCTACCGCGGTCTGGCATGGCCTCCCAGAAGGGCACATGGTACCCATCAAGATGGCGCTGGTGAGGGTACAAATCTCTCGGGACTGGCGCACAGTGAGGAGGCGCATGCAGGAGGCCTTATGGGCTCGGCGAAACCTTGCAATAACACTGCAGACACTGCCTACCGCTGAGGCGGGGCCTCGCCATAGGGCCGGATGGCATTTGTCCATGCGGCATAAGTGAGGGTACGAGCCGTGTGAGACTGGTGGAGTGAGAAGGTGCACGCAGGAGGCCTCAGGACGAAACGTGGTCGATAACGCTGTACTGCGATGCCTGCTGCGGTCAGGCGGGCTGCTGAGGCTGGCGGAGTGGGTAGGGCACGAAATCGGATAAATAACAGTGTGTTTCAATGCCTGCCGCTGTTTGGCGGGACCGCCCTCGAGGCCTCAGGCGGCATTGGTGGGACCGCTGGAGCGGGGAAGAGCGCGAAGCCTGATGAATAGCCATGATCCCTGATGAGCAGCCCGCGCGGTCCGACGCGTCTTCCCTGGATAGGACAACGTGTCGCTGGTGGGGCAAGTGGAGCGGGGAGGGCACAAATCTCGATCAATCACACGGTATGTGCATAGCCCGCAAGATCCCACGCGGCTTCTTTGGAAGAAGAAGAGAAGAGTGGCATGGTTGGGGATTGTGGAGTGAGGGCGGTGCGGATTTTGATTGATAGCATTGCATGCGCATCGCCCGTGCTATCCGATTGCCAGAGTGGGGGACCGCGGATGAGTGACACGGTATGCGCATAGCCCGCACGGTTGGATTCGGCATATTTGCAGGGGGGGCAACCTGGCGTTGGTGAGGTTGGCAGAGCTAGAAATACATGAAACATGACGGAACCGTGGAGTGGAAAGGTCAGAGGGGGGAAGACGAGAGGAGAAGGGGATCGTGTGAGGAGAAGAGGAGGGTGTGACGAGGAGATGGAGGAGGAGGCGGAGGGAGAGGGTGTGCCGAGGAGATGGAGGAGGAGGAGGAGGAGGAGGAGGAGGAGGAGAAGGAAGCGGAAAAGAGGAGGAGCAGAGGAGGGCATCTGAAAGCCAGAACCCCACTCGGGATGCGAAGGAACAGCGTCGTGACTCACTGTCACGACGCGCGGGGATTTCTGGCCCTTCCCCTCGCAGCCTGCTGACCGTCGTTGGGGCTCCTGCCTCCCCCAGAGGCGCTCGCCGCGACCACAGGCCTGGCCCCCGCCCACTGGTCGCCGGCGCCGGCCCCGTACTACGGTGGCCAGATCGAGCTGGCGCCCTACCAGAAGGGGCAGGTCCCTCCCCACCCCCTCCTCCCCATGCCCCCTTCTCCCTCTGCCACCTGCCCCTCCTCCCCAGCCCTCTCTCCTCCCCTCACTCCCGCCCCCCCGTGCCTCCTCCGTGAACGTTTGAGCCAGTGGGCCGTTCCGCTCTCTCTCTCTCTCTCTCTCTCTCTCTCTATATATATATATGTAATTCCTTCTCGTCCGCCTCTCCCTCATCCCTCTCTACCTTCCTCCATCCTGTTGCTCCTCCTCCTCGCCTCCTCCTCCTCTCTCTTCCTCCTCTTTCTGCCCATTCTCTTTCCTTCTTTCCTCCCCTCCTCCTCCTCCTCCTTCTCCTCCCCCTCCTCCTCCCCCTCCTCCTCCTCCTCCTCATCCTCATCCTCATCCTCATCCTCATCATCATCCTCCCCCTCCGCCTCTTTGAGCTGGCACCGTGCCAGCAGGGATGGGCACTCGGGGGACAGCTTTCTTGATGGAGCAACTGTACATGACATCAAGGGAGGAATAGCTCAGGCAGACAGACAGAAAGAGAGACAGAGAGACAGAGACAGAGAGAGAGAGAGACAAAGAAAGAGATAGGGAGATGGAGAGAGAGTGAGAGAGAGAGAGAAACAACAAATATTGACAGAAACAGAGATGGAGAACGACGATCGGGGAGAAGGGAAGGAGCAGGGGCATTTCTCTGGCACAGGAAAGCGAGGACCGTCTGGGGAGGTGATACTCGGAGGTGAGAGGGATGGGGAAGAGGAAGGGGAGTGGAATGGCAAGGCGACAGGCATGGACGGAAGTTTCGCGAGGAGGAGGGTGAGGATATATCGGAAGAGGAAGGAAGCGGGTGGGACGGAGCGGAGGAGGAGGAGGGGGAAATGAGACGGAGAGATAGGGGAGCCGGAGGAGAGGGTGGCCGGAGGGGGATGGTCGGGAGGAGGAGGAGGAGGAGGAGGAGGACAAGAGTGAAGTCCGAGCCAGCTTCGTTTCAAAAGAGTGCAGGGAGGAGATGATCTCTTCATCCCCCTGTCCTCATCAACCCTGGTTTTGCATGGGATGTGTGATCGAACTATCACTGGATGTGTGTTCGATCGGAACGCCAGAGGGTGGGAAATCTTCGAAGGTATCACTGGAACCTGACGGTTCGTCTACTGGGACCTGGTGCAGCTACTGGAATTCTTTTTCGATGCCTGAGTTAATTGTCAGACAGGACATCGGCGGACCAAGAGTTGGATCCTACGTCCTGAGAGGCGTCTCCTCTCAACATGACCGTGCGAGTAGCAGCTGAGTAGCACCGCACTCGTCTACAAGCGCTGATAGGTGGCATCAGCACTGTGCAGAGTTGCTTGGTAGAGCAAGAGCAACCGAGCGAAGCCACGTGGATCCCACGTTGTGGCACTTCTTTCTGGTCGACACCATCGCAAACACGGTCGATTCCAACGTACAGGCCGTTCGATGTGTGAGAGGCCCCCTTGCATGGGCAGAGGTGCCTCCGCACCTGGCTAACACTAGCCTCCCGAGAGCTCCTGCAGGGCAAGTGTCTCGCCTTGGATGCAACGCCAACGCCTGAAACCTCCCATGCAGCCAGAGCGAGGGCCATGATGCGCTGGCCGCCGGGACTGGCCGCCGCAGCAAATCCGTCCCATGCAGTACACACGAGGCCCAACCGCAGCTGCGCCGCAGCTTGCCCACGCGCCGGGCGCCACGCCGGCCACGGCACTCGAAAGTTAGAGCGACAGGACGTGCTGTATATACACCTCACTCGACGACGATGGAGATAGTGCGTGGCCTCCGACATAAGGCCTGATCCATTCGCACCCTGCGCCCCTGCACCAGTGAAGCACGTGCATCATTTTCGTCCAGCTCCCAGAATTTCCAGCCGTAGTCGATTATCCAGTTGCCTGCCGCAGACCCCGCCACGGTGCCAGGGCAGCAGCGAAACCAAGGCGAGCTGCTTTCACAGAAGTCCCCCGAAAAGGCTCAGTGGAAGCATCTCCGGGGCCGTCTGGGAAGCAGCGCGACGATGCTGTAGCGTGGCGTCGGCGTGGTCGTGACTTTGCATAGTTGTTGCGTTGCTGCCAGGAGACTTGCTGGAAGCCTTGCAGGCATCGTCGGAGCTTCTGGGTGAACTCTTGGGGCCATCGCGGGGTTACGTATGTTGGGGGCTTCGGAGTGCCTCTTGGGGGCCTGCTGGGGGTCTTGCGGACTTCTTGAGCGCGACGGCCCCCGAATGCTGGCAAGAACGCAAGTCTGTTCCGTCGCATCCTCCTCGCCCATCCTGCCCAGCCTGCTTCTACTGGACCTGGATGGCCCTCCTCTTTGTCCCCCCTGCCGTCTCCGTCCTCCTCCTCCTCCTTCTTGTCCATCCGTCGCGTCCATCCATCGTCCTGCCCATCTTCCTCCTCCTCCTTGTCTACTCGCGCCGGCGCTGGCTGCCCCCTTGAAGGTTGCCGCGTACAACTGGCCGCGGGCCAGGGGCTCAGCCTTGCCTACGGCGTCCTGTCGCGCAGCTTCCTGGGGCCGGGGACACGAGAACAGGATGAGGGGGAAGCGGTGGGGTTGGGACGAAGGGACTCTGGGACTGGGGCTCCCGCGCCGAAGCCGTGATCCACAACTGGGCGTTTCGTGGAACGGTCTCGCGCCCCGCCGCTGGCAGCTACTATCCGCTCGCTCGAAGCCTTGCTGGGCAAGCCATTGGAGATGGCACGGCCGAAGGGAGTTGAGGAGGAGGTGAAGGGCGGGGAGAAGGACGCGCCCGCAGCTGGCTCCAGGCTGTTCGGGCGACATTTCGCGGCCTCGGTTGTTTCGCGTGTAGCCTTCTGGCGTGTGCGTGGTTGGCTCTCTGGCGTTTGCCGTTGCGCCCGTTCCAACCCCCCCCGCCCTCTTGCCGAGGGCTTGGTAGTTCAAAAGCTAGGCGTGCGTAAGGGAACAGCTCGGAAGCGTCCGTTTGCCATAGGAAGGTTTCAATCTATTACTAGTTTGAAGCCAATTAGAGCAGTGACCCGCTAAACACACACTTTGATATGTGCCGGTTTGGGCACTATGTATTTCTGCAGTGCCGATTCTGAATCTGCCGCATGGTTGATCGGCTTGCACGGTTGAGGTCACGCGGTTGAGGGGAACGATGTATTTCCAAGAGCGTACATGCTACGAGTGTGGGACGTGGCTGACGGACTCGCACGGTGAACGTCGGTTTGACAGAAAGGCGCGAAGCCGTTCACCCGAGATGACGCGTAGGCATAGGCAAAACGGGTTGTGCCCATTGGCACGCTCGCGAGAAAGCCGAACATGTACTGACACGCGTGCTTGCCATGGTCGAGAAGAGGATGGGAGACGGAGGGGAGGCGGGAGAGGGAAGGGGAGGGGAGGGCAAACAGACGATACCACGAATAGCTGTCACCCGTAGCAGCCACGAATCGCCACCACCTGCATCACCCACGAATAACCACCTTGAATCAGCACTACGGAACCCGTAGAACTACGTAAATTATAAGCGTATACATTTATGTTGCCCGGCGCATTCGCCCTCTCTTGCGGCGGGCGGGCCACATTTTAGGCGACCCGCCTGTGCTGAGGGGCACGAGGCCCACAAACGAATTACATTCATGGGCTGAGATGTTCTTGTATAGTTCAAGTTCACATGTCTACTTAGCCACGTTTGAGACAACGGTTTCGCCGCCGCCTTCTCCGAAAACCATGCCGTTGTGTATTGTGTATGATGATGGAATGCCCAGAAGTCCCCGCACGCACTTGTAATAGAAAGCATCCAAACGAGCACGGTCAGCTTTCAGAAGCTACATGGAATCCACCGAGAAACTAGCTTGCTCACGACGACGTTGTCGTAGTTTTTTATTTCCGATTCCACCCCAGCGCCGATCTAGACCATATTTTGTCCAGTTGGTTGAACGTCATGTTCGTTTCACCCAACCTCCTCGACAGTTCGGTCGAAGCCCTCCCATCGCAAGCCACTGTGCCCTCTAAATATACCGCGTCGCGGATTTTTCGATAGCACCCACATAGTTTCAGAATCCTTTTCATGTAGAACAGTGAGTGGTCTGATTTGGGTCCCCGGCGCCGGATTGAACATTTGAAAAACTTAAATTGAAAACCGAGGCTTTCGGATTGAAAAAACTGAAAATTGAAAAATTGAAATTTAAGAATATTAATCCTGGAGTTGCGAAGTGAGAATGAAAAAGTGTAAATGTCAATCCCGGTGTCGTCGATTGAAAAATTGACAAATTGAAAAACAATTGTGTGTTTTAAATTTTTCATTTTTTCAATCTGGATAGGTTGGAATTGGTATTTTCAATTTTCAAGTTTTCGATCCCAGCGTACAATTGAAAAAACAACTGTATTTTTTAAATGGATCATTTTTTCAATCCGTGTAGGTCGGAATTGATATTTTCAATCCTCAGATGTTCAATCCCGGCGTACTCTGACGGGCGGGAAGGTTAGGTCGAGCAGACAGGCCCTGACGGGCGGAACGAGCCCGCTGGCGGAACATCGAATACTGTCTCATCCTGTGATGGGGCGCTCCGGGCTTCCCGGAGGTCGCCGACCGCGTTTCCAACCCCCCCCCCCCCTAGGGAGCCTGAACCACGCCCTCCATGGTTGCTGGAAAAATCTCCCGCACCCCCCCCATTCCCAGCTCCACGAAGGCACAGGAGAGCCCCAGGGCGCCCGTGGCTCGGGGCCGGGGTTCCTCGGAGAGCTCTCGCGCAATTCGATGCGCAGGGTTCTGAGGGATTCGCGTGCGCCCCACGGCGCGTCTTCGCCGCGGCGGCGGGATCTGCCGCCGGGCCAAACTCTGGGCGCCGAGGAAAAATCACAGCGGGCATCTGCATCCCAGTCTCCGCGCGCAAAAGTCCAGAGGAAAAGAAACACATAGACACAATGAATCCTCGATTCCCCCGAAAATCTGGGAAAATCTGGGGAGTGGGCGGGGAGGCAGAAACCCAGCAAATATGGAAAAATAGGGGGAATCCTTTTATTTGTGTGTACTTATTTGTGTGTCCCTGGGCCCCTTCAAAAAGCCTCGCCCAGGCCCCCCGGCGACCGCGCGCGACGCGCCACGCCGTGTCTTCGCCGCGGCGGCGGGATCTGCCGCCCGGCAAAACTAAGGGCGCCGAGGACAATTTTTCCGCGGCACCCGAAGTCTCCGCGCGGAGAAGCCTTGGGCACGGCGGGCAGTTGTATCCCCGTCTCCGCGCGCAAGAGCCTCGCCCAGGCGCTCCCCGGCGACCGCGCGCGCGACGCGCCGCAGTTGGTGGTCTCCAAGCCAGGTGGTGAGACACCCGGTGGTGGCCCCGATTCCCCCAAAAAATAATGCTGGGTCGCCACCGGGTCTGGGGACGCGCGGTCGCCACGAGGTTTTGCGTTTTTCCTGGGCCAGCCGGCGCTCGGAGACACCATTATACCCAAATCGCCCCAAACTCACCACTGGGTGTTCTCACCACCACGTTTGGGGGACCACCAACACAGGAAAAATGTGTCCGCCGCGGGCGCGGCGCCCCAGAGAGCTCCACGCGCGCACACCGCGCGCGCAGCAGCGGAGTCGCGACGTCGGAGGCCCGGGCGCCCGAAACCATCCGACGTCCGACCGACGCGCCACGGGGAGGGGGAGCGGCGGAGGGCACTCGCCCGCCGGAAAGAGCGCCTGCTTAAGGGAATCGTGTTCCAGAGGCCCCTGCGCTCGTCGGGCCGGACGAAAGGGGGGGCTTGGGAAAGGGGGGGCTATAAAACGACGCGAAGATCGGGACAAAATCGGATCGGGACAACTCGAAATCTCTGAGAGTCGGCGGGTTTGGAGGATGTATTGGGCGCCGCGGCCGCTCCAGAGCGTTCCGGAACGCTCTGAGGGCGTTCCGGAAGGCTCTGGAGCGATTTATCCCGATCCTAGCCTTGTTTTATTGGGAAAGGGGGGGCTAACGAAATGTGCTGCAGGCAGCTGGTTTCGGCCCACGGAGGGGCCCATTCCCCGATGCATGGCCGCCTGGGGGGCACCCCGGGCCAGGGGGGGGCACCCTGGGCCAGGGATCGGCGGCCACGCGCGAACCCTACCCCTGCCCCCCCCCCGCGATTTTGGAGGGGGAGGTGTGGGCTTCACTTCGCTCGGGGAGCTCCTGAGCGAAGTGAGCCCCTGCCCCTCCCCCCCTCGGAAGTCGTGGGGGGCAGGGGCAGGGTTCGCACGTGGTCCGCTGAGGGAGTCGTGTTCCAGATGCCCCTCTGCGCGCGCCGTCGCTGCCCTCTCTCTCCTCCGTGCACGTTCTGCGCCCTCCCCCTCCTCTCACTGCGTTCGTCGCTGTTCGTTGTCCCACCGTTCCGAACTTGGGATTTCCTCGTTTTTCCTGCTCTCTCTCGCCGACTCCTGGCTCCCGCCTCCCTCCTTCCCCCCCATTCCTCTTTTCCTCCCCTTCTCCACCTCCGCCCCCTTCCCCTCGTCGTTCCCCCCCTCCATCTTTTCTCCCACCTCTCCATCTTGTTTGTTCTCTTCCACGTCGTCCGCCCTTTCCTCCCACTTCCTCGTTCACCTGCCTCTTTGGATCTGCCCCTTTCGAAACACCCCGTCGTGCTCCCCCTCGCCATCTCGCGCCCGTGTTCGCCGCGCTTAACGCGCCCGACAGTCCCGCGTCGAGACATAGTTGCAATTGGTCGCGAGCGGATTTCGCTGTTCGGCGGCAGTAGGGTGTCAATCATGTTCGTCGTCGCGCACGTGCCGGCCGCCTCTTTAGCTGCCGTTAGTTCGCTTTCCCCCCCCCCCGTTTTCCCTCTCGTCGCCCCCCTCTCCCGCGTTTTCCTTGGGCCCCTATCCCTGCCGCCTCCAGCGTCGTGGTCTGTTGTCCCGTTGATTTACCTTCCTTTGTCTTGTCGCGTTCCTTATCTCTTCTCCTTCTCTCTTCGCCAATCCGTCCCTTCGTTCGAGCGTGCATGGCAGCGGTCGCAACCGGCGCGGGGCGGGCCGCGTCGGCGCGCATCAGAAGATTGCTCGCAACAGTAGCAGGGCGGCAAGCGTTGAGCGGCCAGCGCGCGTTCGCGTTTTTGTCGTGCCCGGCGCAAGAACTAACTCCAGCTTCGACTCCGCCCGTCGGCGAGAGCGGCGACGCGCCGACAAAAATGCCTCGGAGAACGGCGGCGCGGGTGGGTTCGAGGCGCGCGCATACGAATACGCGCGAGGCTTCGCGCTGACGCGCGGAACAACGCCGCGTAGAGCGGCGGGCCCGCGCACACCTGCGATTGCAAGGGGCGTTTGTCAATGGGGGCGCCGCGCATTGCTGAGGGATGGCACCCGCGCGCGACGGAATGCAGCACTATTGTGATCATAATCTAAGCGCTGCCAGAAGGGTGCATGTAAACGTTTGTTCGTGGGCTGGGTGGCGTGGATAATATGGCGGTGGTCAGAAGTGCGGGGGGAGGGGCTTCCCCGCAAGGCCAGGGCGCGGCCCGCGCCGAGGGCTGGGCCCGATGAGGATT